CAGATTTGGTGGCCACCCATGATTCCCAGTTCTCAGCTATGTTATTGTCTCTGATGTTTGTAAGCTTGGCTGTTAGGTGCTCTATAGTAGACTGGTTTTGGGATTTAAACTTTGCACTCCAAATGATGAGAGCTTCCCTGGTACACTTGATTTTCTCCTTTAACTGAAAGAAAGGTGTGCCTAAGTGCACAGAGTTCCAAGCTGAGCTTATCACCTCTGCAATATCTGGTTTGAGGAGCCATCTTTTGTCAAAATGGAACCGGTGCTTTAATCTTTCTTGCAGTTCTCCAGTGTTTAGAAGTAGCATTGAGTGGTCAGATGCACTTTTGATCAGGTTTGAAATAGAAGAATTGGGGAAAGATGTCAACCAGTCAACAGAACCAAACCCTCTGTCCAATTTTTCTTCAATTAGCTCCTCATTTGACCTGTTTTTGCACCAGGTATACTGATAACCAATCATCCTTATTTCCTCCATAGCCATGTTGTTGATAAACTCATTGAACCCTGCTAAGCTTCTGGCTGTTCTGCTGATACCTCCAATCTTATCATCATTGGTGCATATATCATTCCAGTCTCCCATCATGAACCATTTATCACCCCAACTGTGCTTATCAGATTCAAGTTTCCTCCATTGGTCAGCCTTAGTGTAGAAACATGTGCTAATGTACACAAATATACCCCAAGAGGAACTGCCATCTTGTGAAGAAAATTCAACTGCAATGTAGAAATCAGTGGCTATAGTTTGAATAATTTGCACTCCAGTATTCCACATAAGCAGCATTCCACCACTGATTCCTAAAGGGTCCACTATAAGTGATCTGCCTTCAAAACCTAATTTTTTGACAACTGATTTAACAAAACTAGAGGATTTTTTAGTTTCAGACAAGAAAATAAAAGATGGGCGGTGAGCTCTTACTGTCTCTCTGATTTGGGAAACTGTGGAGGGCCCGCCCAGCCCTCTACAGTTCCACACCGCGGCTAACATTGTTCACTTGGGCGCCATTCAAGGCTGGCCGCCCCCACCTTATCAGAGAGAGATTTGAGTTTCTTCTTGTCAGAGGAAATAATTGATTTTCCTTTGCTGTCCCCAATTGTGTCAGCAGTTTCTGGTTGTTTTCTTTTACCTGAGATGGAGGATTCTCTTATAACCAGAGAGGTACTTTGCCTTTGAAGCCGACCCTCCTTATTTCCTATTCGCTTCCAAGTTCTGGTTTCAGGCTTTTGGGGCATTAGAGTATCAACGTTATCCTTGTCAGAAAGAGGAGGTGAGAAGCAGGTAAGTGAGGTATTACCATCCTTCTTGAGAGGAGCAGCAACAGAAAATGGTCCTGGTATTATATCTTTCACTGGTTTTGGACTTGATGGATAATTCTTTAAAAGGGAGCCACCATTATCTTCCTTAGGAGAGGAGGAAATGTTGGAAGATGTATGTTGAGGTTGCAATGTGTCACCTTGGATCATGAGTAACTGATTTTCTTCCATGTGGCTGGTAGCTGATTTGCGAGGAGAGTTCTGGTCTGATGGGGTATTATTCTCAGAAGGAGATCCTCTATTCTCTGAATTGCTTAAATTTGCCCAGTGTTGACTTTCCGCCCTCATCCAATCTCCATATCTGCCCTCGCTGAGATACTTGTTCTTGATATCAACCAACCGAGAAGAGCAATTCCTGTCTAAGTGTCCCACCATCCCACAATAGTGACATAAATTTATGAGCTTTTCGTATTTAAAGCCCACGCTGACAATATGGTCCCCTAGTCTGATTTTGGTGCAGCGAGGCAGGGGCTCCTGAAGGTCAATAGATACCAATAGTCTCAACACCTTCCCCCCGTGGCTTCCCGCACCCATTACCACAACATTTAAAACCTGTTTGAAAACTTGCCCAATCTTTAGCCCAACTTCTGTACTTAGCCAGTTGAGAGGGAGATTGAATACCTGCACCCAAAGATTAAGTTCTTGGAATACTGGGTGGCCACTGGTTAAGCCTGTTTGCCATGCTGAGAGGATGAGGTATTGGTTGTCAATACTCCAGTTGGTACCTTTGGCAACTCTCTCCATATCTTCCTTGCAATCAAATATAAATTGGAAGAAGTTATGATCCAGCTCTTTAACTTCCACCGATTTCCTAAGCTTCCATATGAAACTCATAGCACGTTTGACTCCTATCCAGCTTGCTTTCCGGTCACCAATGACTTTTCCGAACAAGCTTCTTTGACACTCGTCATCACTAAGCTTAATGTCATCATTTCTAATGTCAATGATGGCATCTTCTCTGTGAGATAAAGAGAAATTTTCCAGTTTTTGTAAGATCTCCTCATCTTTCTCCCTACAGGATTGGGAACTCATTTCGAATTAGGGCTTTTGGAAACTGAGCACGAAAGGAAGAGAAAGGAAAATGCATATGAAGGGATCACAATGAGCAGCAAGAAGATGAATTAATCCATCGAAATCAGCACAAAAATCAAACTGTAGGTCGCTCTCCACGAGAGAATTGGGTCGCTCTCCACGAGAGAATTGTGAAGTATGAATGGTTTATCAAATAATCAAACTTTTTGGATTGATTGAAAAATAATATTTTTATTTGACATGTATCATTTATCAAATCTCGAGATTTTTTCTGCAATATTTAACTCCAAACAATCTGAAAAAAATTGTGAAATTTGTTACCAAATGAAATCTCAAAGATTATCGGCAATATATTATGTGTAAATTATATGAAGTGTGTTACCAAAAAAACCGATATTTTAAAAGATTTGTTATCACAATCAGATAAAGTCTGTTAACAAAATCGGAGATTTGTTATCAAAATAGATCAAATTTATTATTAAAATCCGAGATTTGTTATCAAAATCCGATCAAAATTGTTACCAAAATCCGATTAAATTGGTTGACATGTGAGGCTCATTGATATTGCTTATATTAGTAAGTCACAATTAATTTTTTTATTTTGAAGATTATGTGTTATATCAATGTGACATAATGTTTACCAAAATTAATGGTGTTTGTTACAATTTAATTTTGATATATTTTAATTTTGAAATTTATAATCTGTTTTCTTAGTTACTATATCATTTATAGTTTAGAATTTATTTACTGAATCATTATATTATTTATAATATAGAATCTATTTATTCAATCATTATATATTTTGTAATTTAGTATATATTTATTTAATCAATATGTTATTTATAATATAGAATCTATATACCATAATTATTATATTGTTTGTAATTTAGAATCTATTTATTTAGTTATTATATTATTTATAACTTAAAAAATATTTACTTAATTATTATATTATTTCCGTTATATGTTATTATATGAATAGATAAAATCACATTCATAACTAAATGCCTGACAGTCAAATTGGGAAGAGTTGTTTTTATAACCCAAAGGTTGTGAGTCAATTCCCACCCTCGGGATTTTTTTTTTAAGTAAACATGTTAACAGGAAGTGTATAATGATAAATTGAATGGTAAAGTAAAGGTATAATGATAAATTCAACGAAAACGTAACGTCGTGAGTATTAAAATAACAACTTTATCATAAAATGACGAGTGTGCGTGAAGACATTAAATACAAAGGAGTTTGACGCAATTTCTGAAATATCAGGGGAAAACGTGCATATTTCATATAATATAGAGGGATTTGGCGCAACAAACCCTTAAGTTTTAGTTAGACTATACAAGTATACATGTTAATATGGGTTGACTATAAAAAATGCCATTGATCGAGGTTTCATTTAACTAAAACTTGCAGCGACGAGCTAATAACTTGTAAACGGTTTTGCTATAGAGCCAACAGTTGGCTCCATAGTGGAACCAACCTTCTATATACATCAAATAAATCTACCATATTCTTTAATTACCTAAATAACACTAATATAATTTTATGAATATGGTAGGTTTATTTGATGTATATAGAAGATTGACTCCACTATGGAGCCAACTGTTGGCTCCATAGCAAAACCGAACTTGTAAATTTATACAAGATAGGTTAAACTTTTATATTGTCTTGTGTTGACCTCTTCGTAGATGACCTAAATATTTGTCAAATTTAATCTCAAAATGAGCTTATCACTGATTAGTTACAACTCTAAAATTTATTTTACTTTGCTTGCGATGGATTTTGACCGGTGAAACAGTGTTCAGAAAATTGCAAAGTATCAGAAAAGGCTCACTCTGACGATCAAGTTAGTTTTTGGTGCAGCAATATGAGGCTATATCAAAATCAAACCTGAGTTATTTTTTTATAATAATTTCAATCACATTGAATACCTCTAAATCAATCTTGAACATCAGCTTGCATATATAGTGAGAAAAAAAAAATTAATAATTAGATGAATCGTTAGAGACGACAACCAAAAAATTAGATAATCAAACTGCTGTCAAGTATTAACTAATTCATTGTGCATTTTGAATATTTAAAAAACTCTTCGTCACATCATGATCAACTTGTCTATATAATACCGAATAAGCTTACTACTATGAGGATGGACTTCTTGAAAAGGATTCAGCACTTAATAATTATACATATCCGAAAAAAGAAGAACATAATAAAAATGGAGGAATACGGATTAAGCAAACAATTAACTGGTAATTCAAAAATTAAACAAACAAAAAAGTTATAAGATTTCAGCACCGACAAAGCAAAATTCAGATTAGGAATAAAATTGCTTATTAGTTATGCGGCAAAATCCCAAACCTTAATATTGATCTTCAGTGTATAAGTACCACTGCTTATATATATTAGTATTTTTCTCAAGCACAAGTGAAAAAAGCACTAAAATATTGGCACGGCTCAATCAAAACTAAGAAGCAAGCTTAAAAATTGGGAGCGTTTTTCAAATTCTAGAGGACGAGATTCTTGGAAGTTGCAACTGAAAAAACATTTTCTTGAAAAAAAAAAAATTGTAAATTGAGAGTCAATTTCCTTTTTCAGAATTTTTAAAATGCTCCCTTTATATATAGCCTGTCTGACAACTTTAAAACTTGCAAAGTTGGTTATTTCTGAATGAGCCGAGCCAACATCACAGTGATTATCTCAACACTTTCTCTACACTGCAATACATACAGAGACATAAAAAGAAAAAAAAATATATATTTAAGCTAGTTAAAAAGAAGGGAATAAGTAAGATAAGAGAAGAAAATAGCTACGGTTAGGGTGAAAATATAAGCAAATGTTGGACTTTAAAGAAGAAGCAAGATTGATTGTGGGTGCATTTAAATTCACACTCCCACCAAACCCTGAAAGAAAAAAAAAATGAAAAAATTAAATAATAATAATAATAATAATAATAAATATGACCATGGCCATTAATGGCAGCAGGTGACCTATAAGACATAAATAATATTCTCTAGCTATGTATTTCTCTCCACAAGTCCATACTGCATTGAATATAAAGGAATTATCTCCCCATAACTGACCTGTACGTACAGTCAAGCTACCTCTCTTTCTCATCAACTGAATTTTGGACAGTATATTTATGTCTATTACATGCAAGGCTCTCTGGTGATTTAGCAATGTAGCTAGTTGTCTTGTCTTGCTATCAAGTTGGTTCTTTTCTATAGGTAGAACATGTTGGTAAATATTTAATTTTCTATATATAATCTAATTATGAGTAATATATTACATACAATTATATTAGCTATTCAACTTAATTAATGGACTCAGTTAAGTGATCTAAATAAAATAGAGTTTATGGGTTAGTAATTGATATGAGTTGATTGAGTGGATAACTACTATTATTAGGGTGAGGTGATAATGAGTTGTCTACATTAATAATATATAAAGACCCTATTGATTATGGTCCTCAACACACTAATTTAATCAAGTACATTTTTATTTTCTTCCCATCAAAAGTGAAATGACAGCCTCATCTGAGGAATATTTAGTTGAGGAAGACCACAATACAGTTGATCCAATCAATCGATCGAGTTCGTATTCCGCAAAAGAAACATAATGAATCTAGGTATTTCTAATAATCTTTCATTTCTAACAATTGATTATCCTAAAATTAAAGCATGTCCTAGGATAATTGTTATTGAATTTATATTATGCGATTATAAATTCTTACAAGTGATATCAGAACAATAATCATCCATTGCTAGAATGTACGGGTATGAGCTTGCGTGGATTTATATGTGAATAGTATCCGAATTATTTTGATGTCGAATTTTTTCTTCAGACTATATTATGATTATGGATCTGTGTATTTTTTTTATTCCGTACGCATTTCTGTATGCAAATTTATGGACTAAGGATTTGAATTATTTTGGTTCTCAATATGGACTATGGTTTTGGATCCAGTGATGGGCTGAGTAGGCAGTTCTGGGTTTGCTGTGGGCAAGCCCCATTAGCTTTAGCATTAACCCAAATTCAAGCCCCAAAGAGAGAGAGAGAAAAAAAAAAAATTAATTCAACGGTGATGACAAAAATCTGAGAACAGCTCATCAGATTCCTTTGTCATTAAAGTCGGAAAAAACCATTTCCAGCTGCAAAATACATACACACACACATACGCACGTGATCATCGGAAATGGAAACGCTAGCCACCACCGCCGGCGTCGTCTCTTTGCCGATTTTCTCACCGAACAAGGCCAAGGTCGCTCCTTCCTGGCGGATCGTCCGATTCTCCACTTCCCCCAAAAGTCTGCTTTCTCCACCTCTTTTTTCACTTGCACGTTAATCTCCTATTTATTCTCTCCCAATTTAACCTTTTCTTTTTCGTTTTATTTTGTTCTTATTCTAAAGGTAGCAGCGATGACCGGAATAACAGTGACAACGATCTCAAGTCCGATCCTGCTAACTCAGCCCTCGTCCCCCACACTCTCTCCAAGGCGTGATTTTTATCCGCTTGTTTCCCTCTATTTCACTATTTTCGTACAATTATTGCTTGAAAAGGGGAAAAAGTTATTTGGTTAGAAATAGGAATTTATCAATTATGGAAATTTTGATTTTCCTTTTTTACAGGATGCTGCGATGGGGCTGGTTCTTAGTGCGGCAAACGTGAGAGGATGGACAACCGGGTCGGGTATGGAAGGCCCAACGGTCCCAGCGGGTACGGGTTCTGAATCCGGTATGGCGCGGGTGTCTACTTTCCCCTGGTCGCTCTTCACCAAATCCCCGCGCCGTCGGATGCGCGTGGCCTTCACGTGCAACGTTTGCGGCCAGCGCACCACTCGGGCCATCAACCCCCATGCGTATACGGATGGCACTGTATTTGTTCAGGTAATTTTATGGGATACAGTTCGTGTTTTGAGCCTTTAAAATTTTGATTCAGTAAAATTCTTTCAAATTCTGTTTATATTAATTCTGCTTTAGAAAAGGAAATCAATTTTGGTGTATTCGGGATTGAGTTCTTCTGATGCTGAAGTTGGATCAATTTTTGTCTCCTGTTTGATTCATATACAGCCTCATATGAGAGCCTCAAATTATAATGAAGATATATTCAACTATTTGTAGATTATGCGCCCATTTTTGGATGAAATATTTGGGAGTCCAGGCTGTTCAGCAATAGTGGCGTTCTAATTTATTTTTTTATTATTGGGTTAGTGTTGCGGTTGCAATATATTTCATAAGCTGGTGGACAATCTGAATCTGTTCCACGAGATGAAGTGCTACGTGAATTCGAGTTTCAATCCAAATCCAAATGATAACATGAGTTTCAAGTACTTCGATTCAGACGAGGACAACAAGGACGACATTTTCCCGCATTTCTGAAAGGCAAACTCTATAAGTGCATTATTGATGTTAACATACATATTTGTTGTAAATTTTATTGGTCTTGTGACTTCTACATTGTGCTTGTAAATAGCAATGTGACAGAGTTATTGTTGTAATAATTAGTAGTACTCATGAAGGGATATGATGTAAGGAAACTATTTATGATAAAGGTGATGGCATGATGATATGCTAAACCACATAAGTAAAATAAGTATTGAGTTGTTTTAGTGAAATCGGAAACTAGTTCAAGTTTTTTCTCGAGTAAAATTGCTGCATAGTTTCTTCCAAGGGTTGAGGTTGAGGCAAATTTGCCAAGACTTGAGCATAAACTCATGAATTCATATCCTGGCAGATATATAGGTAGCATTATCCTTTGATCTTGTGGCTATTAGTTGGTTATTGATGATTGTGATGAGTTAGTTGTGGTCATGCAATCAATATTAGAAGAATAATCAAGATGAAACAGCTGCTTGTTACAGCTGAGGAATTAGTAATGTTACACCGTATGCCCTTTTGACGTAGCTAATGCAATTGGCTATCGTTTCGGCTTTCTGTTTTTATAATGAGCATTATAAGAGAAAGGGCAATTGTGGTATTAAGTATTAACAGATGATATTGGATGAAGACTGACATCAGTTGTGCTGATATTGTAAATGTCCATTAATTGTTTTTATATTTTTGGCTGAAGTTTGTGCAAAATGGATTCCTGTTCCTGTGTATTCATCGAAGGCGTTATACACAATTGCTTGCTTCAGTTTTCAAACATTACACTTTTCATTTTCAAGATAACTACACTTGCTGCTCATTTTGTAGACAAACTTGAGCACATACTTGGTGAGAGTATTTACTGATCTAGTCTGCAACTTTGATGTGAATTCATATAATGTTTTGACCTTTTTCTTTCTTTAGGTTCAACCTTGGTTAATTGTGAACTTATATGATTTACCTTT